GGAAAGATAGAAATGTTTAGACCTAAAAGTAATGTTGTTCAAATTACTTCCTTCGGCTGCTTGGCACTCTTGAAACCGAAGCTGCAGGTTTTGGAAAACTCTTCAGCTGCTCTACATTCGTTGGATTAGTCTCGTAGACCATCGATTTGAGGTAGTCCCATACGAAATAATCGCATGGAGAAAGATCGGGGCTACGTGGTGGCCATTCATTATCCCCCCTTTTCGAAATGTCTTTTCCGGGAAAGACATTTTTCAGCAGCTCTATAGATAGCCTAGCTGTATGACCTGAGGCCCCATCTTATTGAAACCACATTCTAGAGGTATTGCCTTGGAGTTCCTGCAAAGCTGGCACCGAAAAGTCTGTTATCATATTGCAATAATTGTTAGCTTTAACTGTCATCGCTTGCCCTCCTCCGTCCTCAAAAAAGTACGGTCCAGTAATACCGGTTGACGTAATTCCAGCCCACACGACTAGTTTAGGGCTGTGAAGTGGTCGTTCATGCAAGCGTCGGAGATTAGTTTCGGACCAGAACTGACAATTTTGTTTGAGGTAGAAATTGGCCTCATCACTAAACATCACGTTGTTAAAACTGTTGAATCGGTCGAGCATCAAATTGACAAAGTTAAGTCGGTTATTGGCATCATCTGGTTTTAATTCTTGGAATAGTTGAATCTTATAAGCCTTCAAATGCAAATCACGCTTCAAAATTCGCCGCATGCTCGTTCTTGATGTCCAAAGCCTGACTTCTCTTACTTGTTGACTATTGCGGATTTCGCTGAACTGAAATACGAACACGCTCTACATTGTCGGCTGATCGTGCAGAAACTGGACGACCACGAGCTGTTATTGCTACTGTCGAGCCGGTTGTTTCGAACATTCTGATCCATTTCCGAAAACAAGGTAAAGCAAATACCTGAAAAAATCGAAATTCTCCGTTTTACATCCAAACCGTGAATCGACCATCGTGAAAAAGTAATCATTCAACTATCTTCAATAGTTGGCAATTGGTTGTAGAAGAACCCAAGTGTCCATTTCACTACAAGGCATCAAAACGTCTTTTATCAGCAAAAACTTGACATTGCAAGACAAGTGTTGTGCGTGTAACTCCATCTTTATATCATCTATACGAATACCGATTTGCAATATTTAGTGCATGCTCAGATGACTTTTCCAGTTATATAAACAAGGAGGATTGAGTTATTGGTTTTGGTAGGAAACAGGAAATTTCTTAAACAAGTGATTTCGGACAATGCGATAACGACCATAAACTTATTCTTATAGTTAGTAAATTTAAAATAATTGATATTCATATAGCACATAAATATGAAGATAAAACAAATCAAGGATCCTATTACTGTTCTTGAAATGACCCATGCAAGTAACTGCTGTCGAGTAGTGCATGCAAAAACCCCGACGGGGTATGTCGTTTTATTTTAAGGGACGCAATGTAGTGACTTACAAGATGTACGCCCAGAATACGCATCTACCTTTAATGAAGCTTTTTCAGTAAAAAAGAAACAGCACGACATCCTGCTGGATTTTTCGCAAACTTGATTCAAGTCAGTTTCATGGTGCCGTCGGGTGGTGCGGTGGTAGCAGCCAGGGGGGACGAGTAGCCGTGAATATACGGGGGTTGTTCCAAAAATAAGGTTCTTAAATTTTTTCAGGCGCAAGGAATTTGAAAAATCGAATTTACCGTTGGAAACGTTGATCTTTGAGCTATTTTTATACATAGACGATATTTTTTCATCGCATTTTTTCAGTTCACCGCCAGCCCGTTTAGAAACTTGCTGCTTCTTGCAACTCCTCATCCGTCTTGAACCGTTGACCGCAAATTGCTCGAGTCCTTCGTTTGTTGTGAGATATGCAGGCGCGCATTGTCGTGTGTAGTATTAGACTTTGGCGACTTTTCTCTAGCGACGATTTTGGATTTCTCATCTCGGCTTTTTCAGAAGCCAATTTCAACCGCTAATTCCCGAGATCGAGCAAGAGCAAGAGCCACAACTTCCCGCTCCGTTCGTGAAATTTCGCGCCTCGCGGCGACGGCAATGAAGAGCTCCATTGTGCATGTCTGTCGGACCGGTACTGAACTGAGCGTTAGTGGTGTTGAAAGAGTAATCATACGAAACTCGAGTACTCGTTACTCATAGATACCCGGTAATTGTTTTTAAGTCCGAAGTTTACCTATTTACACCGTGACACAAATTCGCTTTTATTGTTGTGATCTTGGGAACCTGAAAAGGAATAAGTAGTCGTTTGGATCGGATCAAATTTCGGCAGTATTATGAGGCAGAAAAGCGACAACAAGGTAACACCACCGTTCAGGAAAACCACAATAATAATAGTTATGTCAATTTGACTCGTGTTTCCATGCACTGTTTTGCAAAAAAAATTATAATTCAGTATGACCACCAATATTATGTGTAGACCAAGCTCAACGTAGAATTTTTTATACTGGTATATTATGCTTAATTGAAATGCTTCGAAAAGTCACATGTCATTTCGAATTTCCTGAAGCCCATATACAGATCATCTTTCTGACTAAAAGACATGTTTTTAAGTATTTTTAGTAAATACAAAGTATTTTCAGTTTGTAGGCTCATATGAGTCATATGACACTCCATCCTATGATAACTCATCTCGATAAGCCTACAGTTTGAAGATACAATGTTTGCATTAAACACGATAGTCTTGAATAAACTATGCTTATAACATTTTGCAAATTTTGAGGTCGTCTATTTTCTTACAAGATTCGGTTCCATTCAACTTGTTTAAATTCGACATTAATCACACGACGCACATTGCCAAATCGTTATACGCATACTCATAGTAATCAAAGTAACGAATACAATAAACGATTACTTTGTAGAAGAGTAACGATTAGTAACGAGTACTCGAAAGTAACGATAACCAACACCACTACTGAGCGTCACAGATAGGTGCTAATTGTTAAGATCGGTGGTGGGGTAGGCGACATATACACGAGGGTGTTTCCAGATTTCGACTAGCATCGCGCGCGGCAAAGTTACAGCGTTGGACACCTTATTTTTGACACAACCCTCGTAGTATTCAATGGATGATTGGAACTTTTTTCACTCATAAAAAAGATAAAACATTTACAAGCCTCTCATCTCCTATAACCTTAAATTCTCAACAAGAAATTCTCAAAATCAATTAATCAATATATTATTCCCACGACTGTTGCAAATTCCATAGTATAGGATCAGACATATGAGGATAAAACAATTGAAATTATATGCAAAGATAACAGAATACAGTGAATCAGGCAACACAGCATAGACATATTGAGAAACAGTGAAACACTATTGAAAAACGCTGGCAAAGGAAAAACATTGCAATCTTAAAAGTTATGTCTTCACATGTTTAGAATGTATTTCTTAAACGATTAAATGTATGATCAGTAAGGAGTTTCTTTAATTCACATTTGAAAGTTTTTTGATTGGTTATAATCTACAGTTTCCTGGACTACTTATTATAGAGCTGAGAGGATGCCAGAAAAAAATAGATTTCGGGTAGAGATCGTTAGTCGATGTAGTGGAATGGACAGGTTTTTACCAAATCTAGTATTGTAGGTACGTGTAGTATGCGTTATTTCTAGATTTGCTTTGACCAGTAGGTAGTAAAGTTTCATGAGCGGGTGAGCCTGAAACATCCAAAAACGAAATCTGAGCCATGTTTTTTCATTGCCCGTACATCCGATCACCTACAATGAATATTACCAATTTGAATCCACACTGGGTGGACTCAACTAGCAGCATATACTTTCTGGTAGTGATGTCTGTCTAGAGACTGTGTCCATTAACAACCGTATGATTCTTTTTCAAGATGTGAGACAGTATAGCTGGAGGCGCACCTCAGAAGAACCAATGTATAGACGTTTTGGTTACCACATCCAAAAGTTGTATATACGGGGCTTGTTCAATTGAAACCATCTTTGGTCCAGAAAAAAATTATTGGCAAATATATCTACAGATAATTACCACTACAATTAAGTCACATATCCCATTGTTTCACCAATCGATCTATACCCTGCTTAAAGAATTCTTGTGACTGTTGCTTGAAGAATTCTTTTACGCATTTTGTAGTTCTTCGTCCGACTGAAAATGCTTACCTTTTAATGCCCTTTTCAGTGGCCCAAAGATGTGAAAATCGCAAGGCGGTGGATGCACTAAGGTCCTCCATTTGTTTCGTTGTAGATTTTTTTTCACTACTCTGACAACATCAGGCCGATCACTGTCGTGAGAGCTTTCCTGGACATTTTCGTCTTATTGCTTGATGGATATTGTTCAAAGTTTGATTATACAAATTTGCGTTGATATGGATTCTACGTTCTTAAAACTCCAGACGGTTGAACTTTAAACTTCTTTATGGACGAAGAATTTGCGTGTCCATTGCATCAATGACAGCTTACCGGATGGTTCAAAATAATGACACCAAGATTCGTCGCCAGCAATTATTGACGGAAGAAAGTCATTACCGTGGTGCTTTTTTGGGCCTCTGGCATCCATTGCGCACAAACTTTGCTGTAACCCAATTTGTATACGGTACTATGGACACACTCACATTAACATTTTCTGAAATTGCTCTGATTGAAATTCGACGATTTTCTCTAAGCATGCCTTCCACACATGGCACATTCCTGTCTGTTGACGCAGTACTTAATACACCTGGTCGCGGTTTATTGTTCGACTCCCGTCTTCCACTCTTAAATTTTCGTCACCATTCCTTGACAGATGGATACGCAAAACAAGCGTTTCTATATACTGCTGTGTATGATTTTGCAATGGTTGCAAAACCTGCAGCACACAAAAATTGAATGGCCGCACCCTGATTATATTCAGACGGATTGTTAACAACAAACGCTAAATACTTTTAGGTCACAATACTTAAAGTCGCAGTCAAATACAAATGACAGTAACTGATCAGTGTGGCGTTGTAAAACGTAAGATAAGTGATTGTGAATTGTTTCCAACGCTAACCTGATCAAAGATGGGTTTCAATTGAACAAGCCTCGTATATACTGCAGAATTTCCATCCGCTAACGTATGATGACATTTTGCGCTGCGTCGAATGGTGTTAAAAGTCTCTTAATGTGTTACAGCTCTAGGCGTCGGCCTTACAATGTCATCCTACAGCCTGGCCCTAAACACATACTTCAAAGATAAACGCGACAAGGCCGTGAGCCTATCAATGACGATATCCGGACTGGGACCCATAGTAATGCCCCAGGTGATCAACCAATTAATGGAAGAATATACCTCTGAAGGAGTAACATTGATATTAGCAGGCATCTGTACACATTCTTTCGTAGCTGCATGCCTTTTGCAGCCCGTAAAGTATCACCAACGCAAGATCGTACTGCAGGAGATGCAAGAGATGAATAAGAAGTCTATTGACTCGGCAGAGATGAAGATACCGAGTATTGACATGACGTTGGATGACGAGGTGTTTGATGAAGACGAGGTGTATCATACCTTACCAGCGATGAGTTCTAAGGTGGCGATTTCTCGGAGATGTAAGTTATGGAAATTTATACAGTATTTTCTTCTTCTTCAATTGTCAATCGCCGAATGAGTTGAGTTGTTCATATTAGGGCACTTGCAATAAGTTTGCCCTTCCAGTGAACTTTCTTTAACTACGCACCTAAGCCATATCTCACTTAAACAGGCAAATGTACTACTCGGGCGAAATCAAACAAGGAACAAACAAAACATTATTAACAGGAGAAAAAGATTGATGCAGCGAAGGCTTTAATATTTTTAACCAAGAAGTTATACATATAAATTAGAATAATTCAGAATCTACTATTAATACCCAACATAAAACTCCACTATCCGCTAAACAGATGAGGGGGGTTACTACCCTCTCTACCCCCTTTTGGTTATGCGCATACCAAAATTGTGTGATACTGTACCATTAGCCCCCTATATTCATATTAAGCTAGGTTTTCCTTTAATTTCACTTGTATCATCTGTGGCTGGTTCTATGTCGCATTATTGGATCCGTTAATTTCGTCATTCCCCTCACACACACGACTTATTTTATTCGCATTATAAAATATTTATCTACTTATTGGAAACACCTTTAGAATCGAAAATAATAAAATATGTCTACTAGAGTTTTAGAGTTCGAACAGCCTAAGGTTATGCCCGCTACGTCATCACTTTATACCCTCTCCCTTGCGTCGATTGTACCCTATAAGAATATAGGAAATTGCTGTGACAGTCTCTGGTAAGATTTATGGACATCTGTTACCGCCCTCTTAATGTGGTCCAGTTCTAATCGTGGCGAATATTTATATCGTAGAAAGCTTAAAAATGTATGTGGTCTTCAATGTCCAGAAATTATGTTGCTGTTGACGCTGTTAAGGGACATCCCACACTCAGTAAGCCATAGGCGGAACGTTTTTTAATATGTAGATTTGAGATTGTTGACACAATTGCGATCTGATGAGACGTTTGTCGATTTATTTATTTTTTTATTTATTAACCATATCATATTTTATATTTGATTGTGTTGAAAATTATTAATCTTATGGGGTTTGTGGATATTTGAAGGAGATGCATAAATCAAAATATAAAATAGTGAGCAGGTACCTACATATAATAGACACAATATTGAAGGGTAAAACCCCAAAGGTGGCAAACAACTGAAAGTAATTAAATTAATCCTAAGACTGTGACCCGCTTATATCTATACCAATCATGAGATTTCCTAGAGTGCATCATTAGTACCTAGATAAATAGGCTAATACCAATATCAAACGTAGGTAAACAAAATTGGTAGAAACAAATCTAATAATAGCAAGTGTAAAATTGAACTACCTAGAATAATTCCCGGTTGCTAAATCCCTTCGTTCGTAAGTAGCGTTAAGACGATGAGTGTTAATTAATCACATTTATTTTACCTGCAACAGATATATAAACCTGTCCGTTAGTCATAAGTTCAGTTTGTAAACTAATTTGAACAAGGCACTGTGTGTAAAAATTGTCAAATAGATTGAAATATAGTGGAAATTTTTACTATTGTTCAAATTTAAATTATTAATAGTTTTGAACCAGTGATCTAAACAATGTCTGTGAAAGAGATTGGCGTGAAAGGAAAGGCGATTGGGAGTCAAGGAAAGGAAATTATCAACAATGTCAATAACTTCATGGTACAGGAAAGTGTAGAGCGATTGAAGTTACCACTTCAACAATTGTCAATTAAAACTGATTAACCCATTTAGGAAACGTGTGTTAGCTGCCACGGGTATAAGTAAATGTACTTATCAAAAACAGCTAAACAGAGCACAGATGGAATATATTCAAGCAACTTTTCATTTTCATCCCCATCTAAAAAGCGGCAACGAAAATCACCTGTTGTGGATAAAGTGACTGCAGGCCAAATTGAAGAAATGAAAGCAATCATATACGATTTTTATATTTTGGAGAAAAGAAGACCTTCGTTGAAATGTAAGTTTTTAAATTGTAACCGTAGCATCTAGTCATATTTCATTTTAAGATTTTTTAGGTATTTACCAAAAAATGCAAGATCGACAACTCAATTTTGAGGGTAAAATAACGACTTTGAACAAACTTTTGAAACAAATGGGCTTTAGGTCAGTATTCATACACACTATAAAGTTTTCGATTTACAACGCTATAAATATAATTTATATCTACAGATGGAAAAGAACTACTGATAATAAAAAAGCTCTCGTGGAGAAATATGAAATTCGCTTGAAGCGTATCGAATATCTGAAGCAAATTATGAAATATAGAGCTGAGAACAGGAACATAATTTATACGGATGAAACATATATACATTCTAGTCACACCCCCAAAAAAGGATGGTCAGATGACAATCATGACAAGGAACTAAAAACGCCTTTATCAAAAGGACAACGAATGATTATTGTGCATGTTGGTGGAGAATTCGGCTTTATTCCTAACGCCTTGTTGATATTTAAATCAGGTATTATTTGTGTTACAATGATGTAAAATATTTGCAATATATTTTTACATTTACTGGGATATTATGTATGTATTTTATTTTCAGGCTCAAAATCTGGGGACTACCACAACGACATGAATCATTTGAACTTCATGAAATGGGTAGAAAGCCAATTGATCCCAAATTTGCCTGAAAATTCTGTGCTTGTAGTTGACAACGCTTCTTATCACAATGTCCTGGAAGAAAAAAATGTAACCTCTTCTAGCCTGAAATCAGAGATGATTGACTGGCTAGAAAAACATCAAATTCCTAGTGAAAACTCATTGACTAAGGCCGAACTATATAAAAAAATACAGGAAAATAAAAGAAGATTTCCAGTCAAATACAAGCTAGATGCCTTAATGGAATAGCACGGGCATAAAGTTTTACGACTGCGTCCATATCATCCGGAGCTAAACCCAATCGAGAAGATTTGGGCTCTCGTAAAAAACTGGGTTGCTCCACGAAATGTAACATTTAGGTTGTCTGATGTGGAGCATCTGACCCGTAGCAGGTTTGAAGAAATTGGAGCAGATGAGTAGATGAAAATTTGTAACCACGTGAAAAAATATGAGCAAGCACAAATGGAAAAAGAACATCTTCTCGACGATCAAATGGATAAGTATCAATTCACTGAGAACACAGGGTCATCATCAGAAGATAGTGACGAAAGCGACTCAGATGAAGATTTGGAGCTAAATACACTATCATCTCATAGCGATTAGATTTTTTAATGATAATATATAATTTGAATTATAAACGTCTTTAGTTTGCTCCCTCTTCTAATTCAAATTTGCTTCCGAACAACTTAATGCGCATACTAAATGAATATAATAATACAAAAATCAATTAATGATCAATGTCTACACAACCTATTCACTTTATTTTATACTTCAAATAAAAGAGAAGGCCACTGCGCTCTGTCGACGACCGCGTGATGAGCGGACCCGCCCACGATGACGTAGCGGTCATATTCTAAGAGCGTTCGAACTCTACCACTCACCGAACCGGTAGGCATACATATTCAGTATTCACCTACGATTTTTACCGCCCCAAGTACCTTACAGGAATAAGACCGAAAAAATCAATAATTAAAAATTAATATAATAGTTATACATCCCGGGTGCTTCAAATTCGACCCCCATCATCGGGATTTTGAAAACAGTGGAAGATATGAAGTTGGTTGAATGGGGGCAAAGTTGGGTATTTATGAAACCAACAAAAAGTTGCTTAGAAAGTTTCGAAATTCAAAGTACCTACTTTTTTAATTTATCTGTAGTGGTATTTTAAAATAAGTTGCACATTAACATTACCACTTTTCCTCCTCTACAAGAGGATAATTATAATTTCAATATTACATTTCGCCTCTTGTTCTCCAGCATCAACATTATTGTTTTCTAAGAGATGCCATATTGAGTTTTTGCACAGATGAATAAATAGAGTTTTTAATTTTGATTCCAAGAATATATAATTTGTCCTGCGTGAACATTATGAGACCTTAGTTATTTCAAAAAAATAGAATTTCCTAGGTAGGCCTTGAAGTTGGTAATTTGTTTCGTTTACGCAAAATCGTTGTTTCCTGGTTTTATTTGAAATGACATTCTGAAATAAATTGCATATTAGCATTGTCACCGTTTCTCTTCTACAAGAAGGTCTAGTCAAATTCTTAACTCGACGTGTATGCTTTCGATCTCAATCATCAACTTTGTATTTTATTATGGACTCCATACTCAAATTTTGCAGAATCGAATACAATTTTCGATTTTGCATTTAGTTGTGAATATAATACATTTATTTATGTCACGATAAACTCCTAATATTTGGTTGGAGTAATATATTTAGTATTAGTATTTAAATGTACATACAAAATTCCATTATAGTCCATATGAAAAAACAAAGCTGGTGATTGAGGTCGAAAGACGAAACGTCGAATTGAAAATTTGGCTATGCCAACTTGTAGAGAAGAAAAAGTGGCAATGACAACATGCAATTTATTTTGAAATTCCACCTCAAATAGTCAGGAAAAAGTAAATACAATTTTCGATAAATCTGGTGTACGAAACAAATGTCTATATGAATTTCAAGGCTTACCAAGGAAATTCCGTTTTTCTGAAATAACTAAGGTTTGACTATGCTGTTAATAACACATTATGCATTTTTGGAATCAGAATTAAAAACTCTATCTGTGCCAAAATCCAACTTGGAGTCGTAAAAAAATAAAGTAGATGCTTCAGAACGATAGACGAAACATCATATTGAAATTCTACTTTCACCATCTTGTAGAGGAGCAAAAGTGGCAATGTTAATCTGCAATTTATTTTAAAATCCCACTACAAATACGACCAAGAAAAATTGAAACGGTTTTGGAAAAATTCGGTTATTTCCGACTCTCTCGAAACTTTCCAAGCAATATTTTGTTAGCTACCTAAATACGCAACTTTTACCCCATTTAACCGACTTCGTATCCCTTGAGGGTTCCGAGATCCCAATGGTGAGGGTCGGATTTGAAAGACCCGGTACACAGAGTGTTTAAAAAACATGGTATTATTCCTAGCGTATAAAGTTGATAGAAAATAATATGAAAGGTTCATATCAACACGAGTTGTACAATTCCCCAATATCGAGATACAGGGTGTTCAAATTATAATTTCGTAATATAAAAAATATATGTACAAGTAGATTCAAATATTGACCTGAAATTTTGTACATGAAGTACTGACATCGTAGCCAATAAAGACAACATTTTTGGTGTCTAAGTCTACACCAGTGGTGTAGAAATTGAGTAATATTGACTCGTACAGAAAATAAGACAATTATATTCAACGCCCTTGACTTATCTTGCAACATCTGTTACATTCTTTAATAAGACATTTAATTTTGCATGAATCGCCTATCCTAGGAAATTTTTCCCAGACTACTACTTTTAGAAAAAAAATGTATAATAAAAACCTCAACCCGTTCTACTTCTCGAATCCATTGAAGTTTAACATTGAAAATTGTGAGTACTGAGGAGAGTAATCTTAACTCGTCATAGCTTTATTTGAATAATCTTGAATAGTCTCATCAGTGACGAATCAATTTACCTGTAGATAGATATACTCTAGGCGCTGAAGAAAGAAACTAAACCCAAACAAATACACGCATATTGCTCGTGAGTGAGTGTTTAGGCGCAGGAGACATTACAGGACCGCATCAAGATATTATGGGTAGTCATCAAAAATTTCATACAAGATAATTATTATCTTTTACAGTAAATTTCAGTTAGAGATTCACAAATGAGTTAACTACACTTTTTAGTTATTAGTAAGTAAGCTGCGCGCACTCATTCAGAAGAGGAACTTGAATCTTCTGAATCATTTAAATGAATTATTAGAGGTTCAATTTGGGTATCGATGACATTGTCCAAATCCCACATTTTGACCTCAACCTTCTCCCGAACGTGGCGGATACAGTTTTTCCATTCCTCTGCCGTAACTCTATTGACTGCGATGTGAAAGAGATTTTTAACATCAGAAAATTTATAAGTATTATTATTCGACGCCACGTATTGCTTTATGTTGGCCCAAATCAGCTCAATAGGGTTCAGCTCACAATGGTAGGGTGGCAGTCTCAAGACAGTTTTATTTTGTTTTTTGGCCATTTCGTCGATCATTTTAAAATCGTATTTGTATTTATGTCTATTGACTATACTTATCAATTCACCCTTGACCATTGTTTCATCAAAATCGATCTGTTTTGAGGCCAGCCATTGTTGTATGTTTGCTTTTTTAGTTGCCATTGTGGGAATTTTTTCTATTTTTCTAGAATGGTACGGGGCATTATCCAGTACAATAACAGCGTTATTCTCCAGCTTTAGTAACATTTTGGAGAACCAATTTTCAAAGGAATTGCCGTCCATCTCCTCATGATAGTCCCCTGTCTTTTTTGATTCAAAGGCCCACAGTGCTTCGGGAACAAAGCCGTCTTCACTACCTACGTGACAAATGATCAGCCGTTTGCCTTTTCCTGGAAATAAATTATTTCTTACACTATGGATTGATTAAATTTGAAGGAATGAGGCAATTGAGTTCATTTAGCTGAATTTAAGAGTCACGGAATGCTGATCAAAAACTGAAAAACGTAGAAAATTGAAGTTTGCAACTTCTCAAAACCCATTCAAAGCAAATTGACTGCACCCAAAAATGATAATAAATTTCAAAATAACGCTTAAAAGAGGGTCGAAGTTTTTTTCCTAATGACTACACTGCGAATGCACCATTTTTGGAGAATATCACACATTATCTGCTATCACAGCATATTATTTGCCCGAATTTATCAAAATTAAATTGCCGGATAGATGAAGGAGCTTACCTGCAGGATTTTTCAATCCAGCCGAAAGACCGTCTAGAAAAGCCTGAATTGATGATGTTACTGATTTGTCGACCCAAACTTTCGCTTGAGTATGTCCAGCATTCACCCACGTTTCGTCCAAATAGTAAATTTTTCTTTTTTCATCGCGAAACTTCCGAATCTTCCTAAGGTATTCCCTTCTCCACACAACAATTTCTTCTTTCTCTATTAACATACTGTTTCTTCCCCGTTTCAAGAATCGAAAATTAAGTTCCTTCAAAAGTTTTCGGAATGTGGTTCTTTTAAATGATGGAAGATCCTCATCAGCATTAACTAATCTTAATATCTTATCTACTGTAGGTATCTCATTTCGGAAGAAAAAATTATGCACTTTCCTCCTGATGGCAGTTCTGTCAAAGTCATCTACTCCGTCCGTTATCCTTTTTCTTGCAGGATACGGTTTTGGCTCAGAAAGTGAGTGAGTGCTCCTATATTCCTTAATGATCCTATAAACACTGTACCGACATACTCCAGAAATATGTGCTACCTTACATATAACTTCGTCCACGACCAAATCGGGTTTTTCTTGAATTTGGTTTTTGTATATATTTAATATTATTTGTTTTTCATTTGCACTTAAATGTAGTTTCTTAGCCCTTTTTTTGGGTGGGGTTGCGCTGATGTCAACCACTTCGTCGGCTGTATCTGTGTCAGACATCGTATCTTAGGCAATATATAAACAAAACGTTCCACTCGCGAAAAACGAGTATACGCTACTGAATGCGTAATGCGTATGCAATGCAATCCTGTGCGTGAATTAACTATTAGATGCCTGTCGTGTCATCTACAATCACGTTTACAAGTCCAAACCTGTGCAGATTCGTAGAGCGCCGACGACTGCTAGTGACCTTGAATTTGCCTGTAGATCGATGTTACTCCAGTCAATTTAGGTTCAAAGTGGATGTTTTCTAAACCAATTTGTTGTTCCTACATCAAAAATATATCGATGATGTTTTGTACTGGGAGCTCATGAAAGATCAAGGTAACTTATTTTAACAGTCATCCTTTTTCTAGTCTCAAGATGACACGAAAAAGGGTCTGTGGATTCACTAGAAATACACTGCCGAGGATGTTTAGACCTAAAGTGACTGGAGTATATCCGTGGATGCTTTCGAGGGATCTGTTCACGTGCTGATCACTGTTTACGTTTAATGTCTTTCTTCAGCGCCCAGAGTTTAGATAGATACATTTATTGTCTTGTAGATCATAAAAAATGACATAAGACTCGTCCTAAGAGGGAGGTACATAGTACACATAATTAAAAATAGAAACGAAACAAACATAAGTATTTACAAAGTACAAACAGGGACAACTTAATGCGTACAGACATTCACATATAAAAAAAGTTTAAAAAAATATATCACAGTGCGAGGTATTCAGACAAAGAATAGAAACATTTTTCAACTAATAATTTGCGTAGTTTACATTTAAAACTAGGAATACTACTGACATTCCTGAGGTTAGCTGAAAGTTTGTTATATATTCTGATGCAGGAGTATTCCGGTGACTTTTCGTATGTTGGTAATGGGCAATTTCAAGATCTATATTTATAGAAACTTTTTGTGTTATTTGTGGACGTATTTTCTACCCTAGAAATATCGCCACGTTTTTATGAATCACTATGTATGTTTATTTTCTGGAAAATAATGAAAATTTCTCGCTTTCATACGAAAACTCTTTAATTGTTATCACACATTTCTCTCTATTCAGTATGAAAATTGGCGAAGGTCCTTATTTTTCAGACTCACAGGCAGATAGAGGCAGATATGGCAGGAAAGATTCAGTGATGTCAATGTTCAGTTACGAGCAAGAAGCAGCAGGAGTATATGGAATTGACTCCACGTTAGTTGGATCAAGCGTCATTTCATTGGATACTGGTGAGTTATTCCGGGTGACAAGAATGACAAATTCTTGTTAGTGTGTAAAAACCGCTCCACACCCACGCGAGAATCTCGTCGATAATCTCGGCGAGAACTTATTTGGGTCCACACTCGCAAAGTTCTCAATACAGTTCTCGTGCTCGCCAAATTAAATGTCGTCGACTCCAGCACAAGATTTTTCCGATTTCTTGACTTTATTTTTATACCCTCTGTAGCTGGCTAATAACGATCTTTTTTTGCTTTTTCCATCCTTCAATGGGTAATTCCATCAAGGTACTAATACGTTTCCACGCATCGTGGGCTTGTAGTTTATTTTTATATCTTTCAAATTTGTATTCCGCAAAGTCGGTTCTGCTTAAAAATATTCTAGGACTGCCAATTCTACGAGTAGTTCGTCCAAATCCGGCTGATACTGATGCTCAGTACTAAATACCATGCACAACTGCTCTAATCGGCGAGTCACCTGCCACTAAGAATTAAGAAACATGCGACGGTGGAGTCAATACAAGTTCTCGCGTTCTCAGCTATTTTGTCTCGCGCCAAAAAAACCGACAAAAATCGGAGAACAAGCCGAGAACCTGCGAAGATTATGAAAATCGGTTCCACATTCACATTTCTCATGTTTTCCTCGCTTGTTCGCATGATTGTGGAGAGGCTTTAAGTACGATAAACCAACAATACGAATCAGTTTAGATGTAAAGTAAAAAACTTATAATCGAACTGATCAGGATCCGTATACAGCATATAGAGTATTCTGGTTGGACATATTCATAGAGCCCAGTGCTTAAAAATACAATTTAAACATCTTCGCAATTTCTCGCTTATACCAGGGTTTTAAGAACGACTTATGGGGAAAACTAAGGTCTTGCGTAGGCAAGCTCAAATAATAGTCAATCTTGATATGATCATTCAGTCTGATGCCTGCAACTTTTTCGATATTTCCGTTTTATTAGCATTTTGTCTGCGGTTTATCACATATGATTTATAAACACATGTGGACTATTTTAATCTGGGCAGATCACAAATCAGTAAAAGGATTAAAAGACCAACATAGATTTATTGCTATTTATTATTACTCATTCGCTAATGGAAATTTCCCCTCAGTTATGGTTGTTGCATTTAATGAAACTAGCATGTTTTTCATTACAAGGGCAACTGCTTAACAATTGCTTCTATTTAGTGGTCCTGAAGTAGTAGTAGTAGTGGTAGAAATTTATTTACTCCATAATACAAAAACAATAATAGCAATACAGAATGGGTAAATAAATATGTTTTAATCCCCAGAAGAACAATCCCTCTACATAGATCAGTTGGATGCTGATACGTGTGACATTAAAAAACAAAACAAAAAAGTTAAAGGAGACTTAAACAAAAATTTGAATTGAGTTCAATAATATGCTCAGTGACATTAAAAGTGTTAAATAAATAATTTCTTCAACTTTTTTGGCAATGAGGTAGTCATACCAAGGATTAAACGATAATATTCTCACGAAATTTGATTGACCAGTAATAAGAAAAAAAATAATGTATACGTCTAGGCATCGACAAAATAAGATGGTCGATGTCTAGTTGTGGCAGCTCATTCCAAGGAACTCGAACTTCGTGAACTAGCTGTGGCAGAGTATGTAGCGGATGATGCAAAGTAAATAGTCTCGTCCCCATCATATACCACACATGTTCGATGGGATGTAAATCTACGGCAAAACATTAACGTCTGCTTCTTGAAGAAAGCCCGTAGTACGACAAGCAATATGGGGACGTGCGTTGACTTGCTGAAAAATGAAGTGTGGACGGCCTTCTAGATACGGCAGTGAAGTGGTTTGTAGGATATCATCAACATAACGCGCAGCAGTCATATTGCCTTGAACAAAGAAAAGGGGTGATCGGCTTCCATAGGCAGTAATCCCCAAAACCATTACTGCAACAGTCCTGCTTACATACATCTCAACAGCAAATAAAATATCACGCCGTTCTCCACGGGGGCGTCTTACACTTCTACGACCATCGTGCGTACCTAGACAGAATCGCGATTCGTCGCTGAAGATGGAATTATGCCATTCTACTTCCCAATGTTGCGGTTCTCTGCTCCAGTTCAAACGTTGGCGACAGTGGTCCGCAGCCAGAGGAAGCACTACTAACTGTGGACGGTATGAAAAAGGTCCAAAGGCTCGAATGCGGCGATAGAGTGTAGGCATAGTAACAGGTCTACCTTCTTCTCCAAACCATTGGTCAGCGATCTGAGACGTAGTAGCAAAACGGTCTCGTAGGGCCAGCTGTCTGAAGCGCCTTTAATGACGCTCTGTGGTACGCCTCGGTGGACCAGTTGGCCTTCTCCATGTTCCTCTACCGTCTTCTATCCACACACGACACACATTGCAGTACAATTAACACGGCGGCCAATTTCGCGATAGGACAAACCAACCTTCCTATAGGCAATAATTTTACCTCTATCAAAGTCGCTAACATGGTGATAATTTGAAGGTCTTCGAAATCGAGGCATGCTTTAAATATAGTCATTATGTTGACAAAAAAAACAAGTTGAAAAAATTCTTTTTTCTGGGTGTAACACTTCTAATGTCACTGTTGTCTCCCAATTGAGCATTTGAAGATTTCTTTTTAAAATTATATGTATTTCGAAATTCTTTCGAGTCTTTGGGTACGTGCTCATATAATTTTGGATGCAAAAATAGAGAAAAGATCGTTTTATTATTGTCTTATACAGTTTCTGCACGTAATTTTTATCGGGTATCATGGCAATGAATGATTTTATCGCACTCTCTGACAACTTCGTGATAATGGCTGATAGTATGTAAGAAATGCAGTTGCTTGATATAAAATACTTTTATTTGTTGTTGTTAAAAATTTGTAGTAGATTTAAACACATTTATGGCAGTAATTTGAATTCAGAAAACCTCTAGCGATTACTGGAAAGTAACGAAAGATATCAATGTCGTTCTCAATCAATTGATCGCAGATTTTGGGAACAACTCGATCACTATAGCCCAGTAAAATTAGTTATTGATCATGCAACCACACGAATGAGACATTGAGGATTATCGTTTTGATCAAGAAATGGGTAGTAACTTGAAAAAAGTTTCCACCAATTTTTTGGATTAGCGCAAAAACAGTAAATTGCAACTATGAAGTCCTTTCAAGAATAATCCGAGACTATATCAAATATTTTTTTATGTTGCGGAATTATCATCTAGAACCCCGAGAATTTAATTGTCGAACTATGAACGGTTCTGACTACTTTGGAATCCACTTTTATAATGATCTTCCTGAGCTACTCAGAATGTCTGACCCCTGCTCTTTTAGGTATAGAATTTAAGCTTAGCTTATCAAATAGTGAATTTATCAAAATCATACAATAAGGAAATGTTTGTCAAATGTAGTCTGCCTCAGGGTACAGTGTTAGGTCCTCTTTTATTTAATAGCTATTTGAATGATATATTCAAAATTAACTGTGTAGGTAAAATAGACAGCTTTGCTGATGATACAGCAATACTATATAAAACGCAAGACTAGTATGATGTAAGGAGAATAGCTGAGAAATACTTTTATAAAATCATACATTTTTTCAACACTAGAAAGTTAACCGTGGACTTTGGAAAAACGCATTTTCTACTCTTCGCATCATACGCAAGACATCTGATGAGTCAAGTCTTTCTTTCAAAATAAACAATACAAATTTAAAAACTGACAGAAAGTGGACAATATCAAATATTTAGTATTTTTAGGCCAATATTTGAGGGGGACATCCATGCAGATTTTGAATAAAATAAGATTTGTTACATACAAAATTAAATTCATTTCCGGCATATTGACAGAAAATTATATACGTACTATAATATCATGCCTCAATTGAGCCTCACCTAATTATGGCACATTAGCGTGGGGTTCAGCATATCCAGCGTATTTAAACGCCATAGAAGTTTTGCAGAAAACTGTTTTAAAAACTATGTTCCGAAAATAAAAATTATATTCAACAAATGATTTATACAAGGAAACAAAATTATTTGATATCAAGCAACTTAATTTTTATACATACTATCGGCCATTATCACAAAGATGTCAGTGAGCGTGATAAAATCACACATTCCCATCATACTCGATATAAATTACATGCAAAAACTGTCTTTAAACCGAATAAAACCATAATAAAGCGATCTCGTCTCTATTTGGCTCCAAAATTATATGAACCCGTAACCAAAGAGTTAAAACAATTTCGAGGTACACATAATTTTAAAAAGAATTTATCAGATTGGATACGCTCATTGGGAAGACATGTTACTGAACTATCAAATATTCCTTAACACTTTGACTGCCACACCAAAATCACCAGATGGGTCCCGTGCGCCACACTAATTTTTTTATGAAAATGTGTTTGAAATGGTCTGTCAACACACCTTAGATACATCATCTATATAATTTATTTGTAATTTTTTGTAATTTGACTAGTGTACAAAAAATATACACGTGGCTTGGAAGAACATTTCTTTGTTGTCCGCTGCGTGTATAGGTCTGGATACACTCTTCAGACTTGTCATTTCTTGTCCATAACAGTAGCGTTGATGTAATATAAGTTAGTTCTGCTCTAAATGTCGCATTATGCGGTTCATTTATTCCTGACTAGTACACCAGCATAGAATTAGCTGAAAAATTACAAGGCAGGAAACCGCATCTAGTGGGAACCCTATGAAAAAACCGTAGAGGTATTCAGAAATAAATACTGTCCACTAAACTGAAGAAAGGCGAAATTGTAGGAGAGAGAAAAAACGGCATCGTTATTTTCAAATGGAAAGATAAGCGAGATGTGTTTATGCTTACCACTAGACATAAACTCAGCTTCGTTGAAGTCACAGGCAGAACTGAGGCCAAAAAGAAGCCGGAAGCTATTGTGGCTTATAATAATGCAAAAAGCTTTATCGATGTATCCGACCAGTTGTCACCCTATTCTACCTCAGACGGGGTATCAAATGGTACAGGAAGGTGGCTGTTGAGTTACTGGAACAAGCATAGTAAACGCCCATTATTTGTGTAATAAGAATAAAAATGCACGAGAAAGAATAAGTGTAACAGACTTTGAATAAAAATTATGCTTGAAATTACTTTCAAAAGGTAAACAAAATTTTGATCCTCATGACACACCCGCAGAACATAAATTTATTCAAGCAGGAAAAAGTAGATGCGTAGATGCTATCAACTAAATAAAGATAACCACGGACGTCCTTACGCAATAAGTAAAACAAAACAAGATACAAGTAAATGCCAACTCTGTGAAGCAAAAATTTATTTGCTTAGAATGTTTTTTTGATAAGCACAACATTATGCCAAAATAATCATTGAACATTACTTGAAATTATGTTTTATTATCTTATTTTGTAGAACGATTTTATGTTGTTGGTGTTTGCATTTAACTTTAGGTCGATAATATAAATAATGTCATGTAATATCTATTTTTTCTTTTGTTAAAAAAGTTCTCTTCGAACGATTAAGAAGCTTGTCTTTATTTCATATTCTACCGTATTATTAGTTAAAATAAACACTTTTATATCAAATCTGACAGTTTTTTATTATTTATGTTATGAAAAATCTATTATTATTTAACTATTAATAGAAAAATAGCGGAGTTTTTTTTTCTCTGGCTAAGATTAGTTTTAATTCGACCCGGACCACGCTAAGTGATATCCAATAAGAATACACTTGATACGTGCCCTTGTAGAACACATACGGCTCAACGTTCTTCACTGTCTGTGTATATTTATATATACACGTGGCGGTTTGAGCTCAGCCATTATGTATATTCAGGTATACACGTGGCAGTCAAAGTGTTAAAAATCATCATCTTCACATCCACTTCTTTGATATAAATTTTATCTTTAAGCCTTGTTAGCTTTTTTGTTTTGTTTTTGGAACACTTTCCAGTATACAAAACATTCATGAAAACATTTATTTACCGGTGCTATGTTATTATTGTTCTTACATATTGGAGTAAATAAATAATATCTACTATCTACTACTTCGACCCGGTCATACCACTCCCCAAATTTCATTAAAGGCGGTCGGCGATTATTGAGATTGTGCTGTGTCAAAGTACTTCCGTTTTTTATAGAGTTGCTTCTGTTTTTAGTTCGCATACCGACACTAATGCGTCAAAACACCAAGACAAAGTACCAATGGTGGACAAGCGCATCTACCATCAACCTGGAAAGCTCCTATAATATTTTTGATGAGAAACCAAATGGGGATAAGGTTTATAATGAACTTAGTGTGAAAAAAGAACAGAAAACCAGATGGAGACGTTTTCTTGACCAAGTTATCCTGTTTTTCGATCTGAATCTCCTTAAAGATGGAGAGTATTGCATTATAATGATTGGAATATCTGTGGCAGTTTTTGCAGAAATCAATTTTTCAGGTAAATACAAACAAAATTTGAGAAAACAGGATAAAAACAAAGATACTTGTAAAAGGTGTCCAAACCTTTAAGCAGTTTTTGGCGCCATTCTTCCTCAGAATGTCTAAGCCTGGCTCATTTAAGTAGAATTAAAGATTACCTTATCAAAAAAGCTTTTTATACCATCCAAGAATTTTTAAATAACTTTCCGGATCTCTCATAATGGTGTTGTAGTGTACTTGTTTACTTTTGATCTGTTTGTTAATTTGTTATAATGTGCTTGATCCACAGTTTTGTATTTAATTTACAATCATTATATTTTTTTCTGTGAATGTTGTTATTTCAAACAAATTTGGTTGGTTTGTACTTTACACTTTCGTAATTTAACTTTTACTTTGATTCATGTATGAAAGCAAGTGTATTAAGCACCAATAAAGAAAAAAATGAAATGAAATGTTAAGTGTTTTACGACGGAGATTTGTGCAAACGTACTCGAAAAGTTCACTCTCATTTTTAAAATATTGTTTTTCCAACAAGCTACGGTCAAGTGTCATATGGCGGTTGAAACCTAGTATCTGGAACGAAATCTGGAAGTATATATTCGAACCCTGTTTACCTATGACTTAAATGAAAAACAAAAATAGTTATGAAGACTTGTCTGGTTTTCAATCTCCTACAATCCTTCCAATCAAGTGTACGTAATCCAGATACCTGCAAGCATTGATTAAATTATTCTACCTGAAGATAGCCAACCTATTAGTATATTCTATATGACCATATAGCTACACCGCCCTCTATACGACGCCAACCGTATCAAAGTAGACTTTTAATTGTTACAAATAGGAGAAACATAGCTTTTTTACACTCAAGCAGCCTTGCAGGCAGAAGCCTAAATGTCAGAATACCGCTGCTGCTATGATGATCTCAAAGAAACTTTGTTAATCCTATTCTTGACCTGCCTACGGTTAATAGAACTGCGAAAAGACTCCTCTTGTGCCTGTGAGGAACACTCGAGGCTAGGTTTTATCTGGACCTTGTATAGAGTGAGGAAGTCATGCGGGGAAAAGCACTTCTTAGCGCTAAACAAATAGCCTAGCTCTTTACCAGCAGGTGCCGCTACTGTTGATGTGTTCGTGCCAGATCAAGTCCTGGGTAATCTGTACTCCGACCAGCCAAAATGAACGACTCTTTGGCAGAACTCGGCGATCCATCGAAACAGGCTGAGCGTCCCCAAGCAGTCATAACCTCAAGGTCTCTCGTCAGAGAGGAAGCCACTGCTATTTTTCTTTTTACCAGCTAACCGGCAGAGCTCGGCTTGCTCTGAATTCCTGTATGTAGAGTGATGTCATCAGCAAAGCCGTGAATTGGATTGATCGTACAGGAAAGGAGGTCGTTGATATGTAAGAACAACAATGTCGGAGCCATGACCGATCCCTGGGGAACCCCCGACTTGACGTTGTGGGATGAAGAGGAGAACCCGTTATTTACGACGGATATCTTGCGACCAGTGAGAAAATCAGCCACTTTTCTTCAAAGCTTTTCTGGGAGGCGATAGGATAGAAGTTTGCATAAGAGTCCCACAGCTGATCGAACGCTTTCGTGATATGAAGAGCAACGACATGAGCCTCACCATTAGATTGGATGGGGTTACTCCACAGTTGCGTGACGCAAGCTAAGATCGCTGGTGACAGGGAAACCATGCTGCCTGTCGCTAATCGAGCCGTGACGTTCCAGGTAGTCCAGAAGCTCGCTCTTCATCACCTTACTTGTAACAGAAAGCAGAGCTATAGTCATGTAGTTGTAACGGTTGGTCTAAGCAGTTACAAATTCTCATAGATGATGATATGGTATCCAATTTCATCTCGGATAATTTACGGACGCGCTAGGTTAGATATCTTAAGGTATAGAATACTTTAATCAATGCTGTAAGTGAGAAGCGTTCCGAAAAAAATGCATCCTAGTAATGGTCCAGTTCGAAAAAGCGTTTCATTGAAAATTTCAGCAGTTACCAAGAAGGAAAATGTTATCTTGCTAGCACCCATAACAGTGTTCTTATTTATGTATTGTCCATTTTATGAACAAGTTCATGATATACAATTTAAAAAATATGTACTGACTCGTATAAGCTACAGAGGTGAAGTGCGATCCTAAACAGGTACTTGTCGGCCGCTAATGGCTGTAAGCGATGCTTTATTAGGGATTGAGAAGCTCATGAGATATTCAACCGAATATGGTAATGAGTATTAATTTTTTTAACGAACCATAGGCAATGTCTTCAAATTAAAAAAATCTTAAAATGCCAGAAACCAAAAGTCAATTGAGAACAGATATAGACTTACAATATTCATTTCAGTACTGACTGTCTTCATCTTGAATGACTATGGTATGGACACAGGGCAAATTGCTGAGTTTCTATCGGTAGTCGCTGCTGCAGATATCACTTTTCGTTTTCTGGCACCGTACATTGATCATGTGCTCAAGCAACCTCCAAGGACCGTCTACCTACTCAGTCTTGTAGCACTGGTCATTATTAGATCTGGTAAGACAATACATACAGTGTGGCCCAGAAAAACGTGTCAATCTCTCGTATCCATGTAAAACAAAAAAAAAATACACAAATAGTCTGACAAAAATCTAAAACTGGATTGAGTGATTTGAAAATCTATATCAGTGGTCGGCAACATTTTTAGTGTGTTGAGCTACTTTGATAATTTTGGAATAAACAGTGAGCTACAACAATGTAAGCCAACTTAAATGAAATTATACACAGTTGTATGCGACATACTAATAAACTTAAATAAACGAATAACTAATACATACTACGTAACTACATCCATTCCTACCAATCCTAGGTGTTTGAAAAATAAAAAAAATTTCGTCATCTACAATGGCATGTCACAAACGATTTAATAAAGGTAACAAAAAATAAAATAAGCAACGCGCTATTTGAAACAAAAACATGCGTGTTCAGTGAGAAGCCTGACACTCAGATTCACTGACAATTTTTTTTTATACTTATATTTGGAGTATAATTTGATACCGCCATTCGAATACAATTATTCAAATATTCATCTGTAAGTCGATTGCGGTATTTATTTTTAAAAGCTTCATATTTGAAAAAGAAGATTCACACAAATAGGTTGAACTGAATAACGCTTTCACTTTCAAGGCAACACGACATAAAACTGAATATTTATCTTTACTTACTGAAGGCCAGATACAGTATTTGAGACTAATGATTTTAAAGCTAAATCATTTTGAAACGCACTTCTATTTCTGTCGCAGCGATGTTTTCGCTAAAATTCTGCATAATAGAAGTTGCAAACTGCTGGATATCAATTTCCATGAATGGCAAAACAACAAATTGCGCCACTATAGCAATTTCGTTCAGATCTTTGAAACGATCCTTCAAGTTAGAGACTATTCCTACATGATATTTACTGTCATATGGTTCTAATGGACTTTGAGGAATCTTTTCTGAAAGAACAGGAGAATGCCTTGTATCGCGATCGATTAAGTTTTGTTCCCAAAACTCAAGCTTTTGATAAACGATTTTATATCAGAAATCATTTCTGCTAGTTCTTTGTCTCTCCCCTGAAGCTGAAAATCAAGTTCATTTAATTTTTCTGCAATATCCACAAAAAATCCAAAATCTCTAAGCCAGATAGAACTTTCCATTTCCGGAATCGGTTCATCACGATGTTTGAAAAATTGAACTATGGCAGATATGATATAACTAAAACGTTTCAGCACTCGTCCCCCACTTAACCATAGGACTTCAGAGTGAAGAGGAAGTAGTTCCCCGTATTGACAGTCAATTTCATCAGCCAAGGTTTTGAATAATCTTCTTTGTAACGCTGGAGCTCTAATTTTATTAACAATTTTTACTACAAATTTCACAACGTTGTTTAGTTTAGAAAATGTCCACATTATGCTTGCTGATGGATAATGCAATGGTAACAGAGAAATTGCGGAAAACTTTCATCTTTACGACATAACCCCACAAGACCCTTATTACGACCCATCATAGCTGGAGCGTCATCGGTTGTCAAGCAAGAAGAAATAATATGAAAGAAGAAAACAAGGCCTGCCCAGTAGTCTGTCGTTTAGTGGAATAAACGATCTTTTTTAATAGTACAATCACTAAAAACATGAATGAACACGGCCATCTGAGAGGTGTCAACGACATCTGTGGATTCATCCAGCTGCAGTGAAAAATAAGCACAGTTATCGAAGTTATTTCTTACAGTTATATCATTACTTCAACTCGTCTCATCACCGTATTAGCAGAAAGTTGCACAGACACTATCTCGTCTTTATTTATAAAGTAGGCAAATAATGAATCTGCAGCTTATAAAAACGCTTGTTTTATCATTTCCCCGTCTTCATAAGGTTCTTTTCTTTTGTGTAATCATCTGGGACACCCGGTATGAGGCTTCAGTCGCAGACTTACTTTTGTCGATTGTGTTTAAAAACATTGTCTGTTGTCCAACTGACTGATTTTCTAATTGTTTCAGTTTTTTCGTTCTGGTTGCAGAACATAATGGGAATGATTTTTCAAAATTCGAATGTACAGTTATATTCCCTTTTTTAGCAACGGAAACAGATGTATTACATAACAAACATACATTTTTACCTTTAACTTCTTAAAACAAATATTGTTCTTCCCATTCCGAATGGAAATGGTATGTTTTCATCTTCTTACTGCTGCTCATAATGTTTTTAATTGAAGGCCAACTCTAACCCAACCACTGGCCTTTGTGCCGTTCAGTTTTAAGCTGAGCGCACTATCGCCGCACCTTGCGTATTTATTCCGTTCAAAGTAATCGAGATCATTCTTGAACAGATCGCTTACCGCAGTGTTGCCACTGCTTGTGTTTATTATGAGAATTTACAAAATTTACGGAAGCTTCGATGATTTGTACACCTTTATCAAATATGTTGTGAGCCATCAGAATTGCCTTCACGAATCGACGGGTTGGCGACCACTGAGGGCCTCTGATAACGGATATGTTATCAGAATTACTAGTTTTCAAAAATGTTGATCCAAGATCGTTTTTCTCAAAGATGGTTCATTTTATCTTTTATATTCATATTTTAGCTAAAGCAGTTTTTATTAAGAATATAATATTTTGAATTATCATTATATTTACATATATTTATTTATTATATTAGTGTAGAAATATCAGTAATATTTCGTCACGAGTAGTCCATCTCTGGTGATCAAAATGAGTTAATTGTTATCTATTAACACCATCACGTGAGGCCCTAGCTACTAAGCTGTCCATATTTCTTTGAATTCTAAGGTATCTTTCAAAAGTTAGTTGAGAAAAACCGAACGAGTAGCGTCCGTACAGAAACTTCGGAGACCATTTTTCAAACACACTTGTGGCATTAGTTTTTTGTGGTCTATATGAATACGATTTATTGACATGTTATTCTGAGAAACCCTATATAATACAAAATCTGAAAAGAATTTGAAAAAATTGATATGAAATAGTCCTAAAAATAATATTTGAGATATTTTTGGATAAATCAAAACATTCATGGTACAAAGGTTATAGCCCTGCGTGGACTTCCAAATTAGTATTAATTTTGAGCGACGTGATAATGATAATCTTTGTATTTTTTTCACAGTGATATTTCTTATCCAGGACGTCAGATATCTGTTTGCCGTAGCATTAGCTTTAGGTTGTGTCAAAGGCATCCGTATAGTCAACATGTATCTGATTATTCCAAACTACGTACCTTTGGAACGTCTGGCGTCTGCATCTGGGATACAAATGGTAGCAAATGGACTTAATATACTTATCTGGAGCCCACTCATAGGTATCTCAATTATAATAATTTATACACCTTAACATGCTAAATGCACAATTCGATCGACGTGTTGATATTTCATTTATGTCTGTAATCACTCTATTAGTTATCATATTTTATTAATTATGTATATAATTTAAAAAAGTGTTTTCAGTAATATACACATAAGTAACATATATACATACATATATATACAGCCAAAAAAAAGCTTCTAACTATACCATACATTTGTCGATGTCGATTTTATATACTAATTGACATAGAAACTGCAGCACCGACGTGCTGTAATTTTGAGCATACTTCTACAACCTTTGGATCTACTGATAAATAGAAAGAAACATTTTAACTCGAAATTTCGCAAAATAGCTGAGATGTGTTGAAGCTCCTCTGTTCGCTACACATTCGTTAAGTCGTCGCGGCATTGATTGGATCAGGAGATTTACGAGTATTTCTTGTGACAGGCCATCTGGATTTGGTTTCGTAGAGGCTCTAATGTTTGTGGAGGGTGCTGTGAATTTTGCAGCCTTCTTCCCATCATGTCCCATACATACAACCAGATTTACTCAGGGCGCTTCTAAAAAGTCTAAACTAAAAAGGAAGCAAATGTGGTTGTAAAACTTCGTGGACATAGCGCTGGGAAGTCATGCTACTTCGAATGAACACTAATTGCGACCTGCTGACGTAAACAATAACACGCCAGACCATAACTCACAGCGCAATGAATGTGTCGTTCGATGGAATATTGGATTTTCCGTCTTTCACCACCTCTCCTTCTTACTCTTGCACAGCCATCATGTGTGCCCAAACAGAATCTGGACTAATCGCTGAACACGACTGAGTTCTATTTCATATTCCATTCAAGTCTCTCCCTACTCCATACCAATCGTTGCCGACGATGCTGTAGGTCAGAGGTAGTACAAAATGGGGACGGTATGAAAACAGTCCAAGAGACCTTATTTGGCGATAAACTGTCCTCATTGTTATTGCCCTACTACCATCACAGCAAATATGTTTACAAGTTTTTATCAAAATTCTATAAATAATACTGAGTGTTGCATTATATATGTCACTTAGTATATTTTCCTATGAAACGTAGCTCTATCAATTCGAGTAAGGCTATTCCAAAAAGGCATTATTTAAGATTCTAGTAAATATTTGTATTGTTTTTTTTTCTATATAGTCCTCCTATTTCTTCAAACATGTGGCAATTATTTTAAACCCATTATCAAAAAGCTCTACGAATGTCCATGGTACCAACTACATACGAACTGTTTCTTGCAGCTTCTGAAGTGCTGTCCACCAAGGCCTCCTCTGAATGTTTAATATATAAACACATGGAGGTCACAGCCAAAACTATGTGCTGTGAGGTGGACATGGACAATCTAGTTAGGGTCAGGTGCTGGGTATAATGACGAAGTTTTGTTGTGTTACTGTTACAATGTGGAAGTCTGGCGATGTCAATACGCTTCTGGACGGGATGTCGCAGTCCCATGACAGATAAGCAGAGGTGGATTTGTAGTCATGTTCGCTCTAGGCCTTGTAATGATGTTCCGGAGGTGCTCCGGCGATTAGTATTGAAACGCTGTGACAAAAGCTTTGCTATGTTGATAACCGTTCCGAATATCAGGCCGCCCTAGGTCCGGGCTGTTTGAGCCTTAGGACAAATCCGCCTCTATCCATAGATAGCTCGAACTTGGCTGAGAACAGACAGCAGTAATAGTTCTACCATTTTCAAGAACATCGACCAATAAAATTCGTTTCCGATACCAAAATCTTTCCTGCAGATAACCCCATCCTTTTTCCCCCAATGTACTCTCGCCTGTTTTTCGCTAATCTTTACTGGACCTTTCCAATGACGATGAACGGTTTTTTATTGTGTACTCGACCCTCATCACACGCGATAAGATGATTACATGTGAGAGTAATTGGCGCCAAAGCACTAACCGCGGGGTGTACATCTCTCTTCCGTTGCAAACTCCTAACGCTGCCGACCATCAGCAGTCAATTGAAAAAGCATCACTTATACATAATTCACCGACGTATTTAGATTTGCTATTTCATATACAGTGACTAAAAGTATGAAAATATTGTTGTGCAATAAATCAACCTCTGTTAGTTTACAGATATCTCGTAAAACTATTATTTACCTATCGCTTCATTTTCAAGGTGTCGTGGAGGATTTAACAGGAAGCTACCAGGCATGTATACTTCTCATCAATGCAGCAACAACTCTCACTGTCATTCTGTGGTCAGTAAAACTGTTGATGAATCGACTTCGTAAGAAAAATGAAGAAACTGTACCGGACCAGAGCAACACTTTGCTAAAGTAGCGGCAAACGAACTGATACTGTGTGATATTTGTATATAGCGTATATTTAAATAAATATAACATAAGATTTTACTATTTATTTACTATATCATTTGGTACTAATGAAGTCTACCTAATCATAATTAATAAGAACATTTTTTTGCAAATCCAAGGGATTGTCGAGTAGCTGCTTCAAATTCAATGATTCTATTAGTAACACCTTCTCCAGATGTTACAAAAGTACGATTGTCCTAATTCTTCAATTGCTCCATCATTCAAGTACGCCTCAAAACAAAAAGTTATTTTTTCCGTCTAAGGCCCGTATCGTCAGTCGTCCCTACAATTGTAG